CCCACACCCGTCACTTTACCTTCTATGCCTACAGCCGGAAGTTAGAGTCAGGATCGTTAAGCATTTACCAACCTATCACTGGATAAGAGATTGGTTTTGCAATCCAGAGCAAGTGTGGGACAAATGGAATAAACTCTGAAGAGGTTTAACTAGATAGCATCCTCAGAGTTGAGTACCAGGACTAATCTTGTTTAACACGTTTATAAATGTCCATATATTGCCAATGACATTAAGCATTTCCAGAGTTAAATCCATGGGATTAGCACCCAAAACTCATAGTAAAACTGTGTAAATTGACTGAAATATAAGCAGATGAACTCTAATAATGCAAGAGTACGGCAATTTGGAGTCCTGGTGTGGTGTGATGGGTTAAAGTGCTGGACTGCAAAGTCGGCTTGAACCAAAAGGTCAATGGTTCAAGCTCACCAGCTGCTCCTTGGAAACCCTATAGAGGGTCACTATGGGTTGGAACTGACTCAACAGTACTTAGCAACAAGCAACAAGGCAATTTGAAGGAAAATTACCTTGCTAAATGATAAATTCTAATCTTTATGTTATGACCTAGAAATGAAACTTAAGGAGTTCTTTACAGTCTTTCTATGTTTAATAGTATACGTTAGCTTTGATCAAAAAGGCCATTTACATGCCAAGTCCGATCAGATGCTGTGGAAACAAAATAGAATAACTGTCCCACAATTCTAAAGTAACCTTAGTACACAATTCCTGCAGTTTGGGTTGATATGCTTCAAGGATAATATCATGGAGCTGAGAGCATGTCAGAGAAATGTGGGTAACCTAACTGGTAGATTATAAGACTCCCAGATGAGGCTAAGACTTTATCAACTAGAAAATCATAAAAAGATTTGAATAAAGTAAATACAGATAAATTAAGGAAATTTTGAAAAACTGGAACTATAGAGTTCTGGTGTGGCGCTATAGGATTAGCTTTGAACTGCTAACCAGAAGGTTGGTGGTTCAAACCCACCAGTCGCTCCTTGGAAACCCTAGACAGGGTCGATATGAGCCACAATTGACTCGATGGCACTTAGCAGCAACAGGAAAACTGTAGAGTACACCATAGATGTTTGAAATAAGAATTTATAAAAGAAATAAAAAGTGACACACTATTGTTTCTCAAGGAAAAGAAGTAATGATAACAAAATTAACACTGCACCCCAACATTTAACTTTTCAGAATTAAAAAAACAAAACATAGGCTCGCTTACCTATTTTTAACAGTACATTGATAAGAAACTGCCAGAGGATCAAGCAGGATTCAGACGAGGATGTGAAATGAGGGATATAATTGTTGACATCACATGGATCTTGGCTGAAAGCAGAGAATACCAGAAAGATGTTTACCTGGGCTTTATTGACTATGCAAAGGCTTTTGATTGTGTGGATCATGACAAGCTGTAGACAACATTGTAGAGAATGAATATTCCCGAACATTTAATTGCATTCATGAGGAGCCTTTACATAGACCAAGAGGCAGTTGTTTGAAAACAAAGGAGCAAAAAATGGCTTAAAATTAGGAAAGTTGTGCTCCAAGGTTGTATTCTTTCACCATATGTATTCAATAAATAATCCGAGAAGCTGGATTATATGAAGAACTCATACACTCAGGATTGGAGGAAGACTCATTAACAGCCTGTGATATGCAAATGATACAACCTTGCTTGCTGAAAGTGAAGAGGACTTACAATACTGATGAAGATCAAAGACCACAGCCTTCAGTATGGGTTGCATCGCAATGTAAAGAAGACAGAAATCCTCACCACTGGATCAATAAACAAAATCAAGATAAATGGAGACAAGATTGAGGTTGTCAAAGACTTCGTTTTTCTTGGATCAACCATCAACACTCATGGAAGCAGTAGTCAAGAAATCAAACAACATACTGCATTAGGCAAATCTGCTGCACAAGACTTCTCTAAAATGTTCAAGGGTAAGGATGTCAGTTTGAAGACTAAGGTGCACCTGACCCAAGCCATGGTATTTTTGCAACCTCATATGCATGTGAAAGCTGGACATTGAATAAAGAAGTCAGTATAAGAATTAATGCATATAAGTTATGGTGTTGGGGGAGAATATTAAAAGTACCTTAGACTTCCAAAAGAACAAACAAATCTGTGTTTGAAGAAGTACAGCCAGAATGCTCCTTGAAAGTCAGGACGGCCAGACTTCGTACATATTATCAGGAGGGACCAGGCCTGGAGAAGGACATCATGCTTGGTGAAGTGGTTGTGGTGGTTATGTGCCATGGAGTCGGAACCAACTCATAGCGACCCTGTACAGCATTTCCGAGGTTGTAAATCTTTACGGGAGCAGAAAGCCTTATCTTTCTCCCGCAAAACAGTTGGTAGTTTTGAACTGCTGACCTTAGGGTTCACAGCCCGATTCGTAACCACTACGCTACCAGAGCTCCTCTGGTAAAGTGGAGGGTCAACAAAATAGAGAAAGGCCCCCAACTAGATGGATTGGCACAGTGGCAGCAGCAATGGGCTTACACATAGCAATGCTTGTGAGGTTGACTCAGGACCAGGCAGTGTTTCTTTCTGTTGTGCATAAAGTTGCTATGAGTCGCTACCACCTCAATAGCACCTAACAACAGCACTTTTAAGATTATTATTATTTTTTTTTTTTTTGCTGTTGTTTGTGTTGTTCTTGTTTCATTTTGTTTTTTAAAGACAACTTATAACAAGAAAGAAATTTAAAGGGCATGCCATTACAATTGTTTATTTTCACTGCTGGTCTCCCCAAGTTGGAATGTGTTCCCAAACATTTTTGAACTTTATAAAGCAATTTAAAAACTATAGTTGTCATTGAATCAATCTTACCTCATGGCAACCCCAGAGAGTTTTCAAATGACAGAACTTTGGGAAGTAGTTTCTCAGCCTAGCTTCCACTGGACCTCTGAGTGGACTCAAACTTCCAGCGTTTTGGCTAACACAGTGAATGACTTAACCATTTGAACCACCGAGAGACACCTTCCTCACAACTGAACATTTTGAAAGTTGCCGTGGAATCCATTCCAAGTCATGGTGAGCCCATGTTTTTCAGAGTAGAACTTCGCTGCTTCAGGTTTTCAGTTTCTGTGATCTTCAAATCTCTGAATTGGAATGGACTCTACAGTACAACAACAACAAATCTTACAGAAGAGGATCACCAGGCCTTTTCCCCCTGGCATTGCCCGGGTAGATTCAGACTGGCAACCTTTCTGTTAGTAGTTAAGTAAACCCTTACACCACTCAGAAACTCCTTCCTCACAACAGAGGGTGTGAAAAAGAGGACAACTTTCTTACCTACCATAAAACAGACAAATGGCTTTCAAAAAAAAAGAAGATATTTATTACCTTAATAAAGGCGCACTGGTAGTACAGTGGATTATAAACTAGATTGCTAACCCCAAGGTCAGCAGTTCAAATCTACCAGTTGCTCCAAAGGAGAAAAATGAGGCTTTCTGCCTCCGTAAAGATTTGCAGCCTTGCAAACACTATACAGAGTCACTGAGACTCTGAACTGACACAGTAGCACACAACCACCATGATCTTAATGATACAAACTTGAGGAAAAAATGATTATTTATGTTTAAGGTATTATAGTGTTAGCTTTTTAGTGTTGTTGTTGTTAAGTGCCGTCGAGTCGGTTCCGACCCATAGCGACCCTGTACAGGGTTTCCGAGGGTGTAAATCTTTACGGGAGTAGAAAGCCTCATCTTTCTCCCGCGGAGCGGCTGGTAGTTTCGAACCGCTGACCTTAAGGTTCGCAGCCCGATTCGTAACCACTACGCTACTGATAAATATCTAGGACAACCTATGGATGCTAAAGCTCTGGCAAGCTTTAAGTATACTGGTTATGTTCTCTCTTTTTGAGTTGTTAATGCAATATGTGCATTCTGAAAAATGCGCCATTGATGAGTTTTCCCAAGTATACATATGTATGTCACCACTGTCTAGTGTAATGTACTGTGTGTGTGTTGACTTGACACATCCTACTAATCATCGACTATAAATACAAAGAAAATGTACCCAGGTTTCCATCATAATTAGGAGGTTGAGATTTAATAGAGTAGTATTAACCACAAGTTCAAGTCAACCCCATGTGTGTCAGAGTAGACTTGTGCTCCGTAAGGTTTCCAGGGGCTGATTTTCTGAAAGTAGACGTCTAGGCCTTTCCTTATGAGGAGACTTTGGGTGGACTTGAACCGTTGCCAGTAGAGCATGGTAACTTTCTGCTACCCAGGGACTCCAAACTTTCCAGAGACATTAGCTACTGAAATAAATGACTCTCATGACTACCACTTTTTCCTTTTGTTCATTTTAAACACACTGGTGTGGCTCTGTGGGATAAAGCACTGGTCGCAAGGTTGGTTTGAACCACAAGGTCGGTGGTCCAAACATACCAGTCGCTCCTTGGAAACCCTATACAAGGCTACTTTGAGTGCACTTAACAACCATCACCAACAACCACCCTAGGACCTCACAGCCCCACAGTAATCCTTTTGAAATGGAGGAGACAGTGAGCATCCCATTGTTTTGTGTGGAAGAGAATGAAGTAAGTAACTAACTCATTGCCATCATTCATTTGCAAAGATCTATCATTCTCATGAGTTACACAACTTGACTGAGGCCATGGATGGTGTTTTTGTTCGTTTGTTTTGTTAAAAGAAAGATAAATTTTAAAACAAGAAAGAATACAGACAAAAAAAAAATACTGCGAACACAGTATAAGGCAGGGCTCACTTGATTGAAACGAATTTTCTTAAATTAAGTACCATGACTAAGTACTTTAATTCCTTTTCTTCCAGCCCTAAAGGATCATTTGACATTGACCCTTTTCAGTTAAAGGGAAGTAGCCTGAACCCTGGGTTACCCTGGGGTAGGTGCGGTCCCCGAGCCCCGAGGCGGTGGCTGGACCAGCCTGGGCTCCCGCGCTCCCTCCCCGCCCTCCTCCCGGTGACCCCTGACCCCAGCTAATCTGCATAGAGGAATGACAGGCATCCGCTGGGCAGGATCCGCCGCGCCGGCTGCGGCCGGCCCGGATGGGAGACCCGCGCCAGGGCGGAGGCTAGGGGACCGGCGGGCAGCGCCGCACAGGCCGGGAAATGAGCGCTTGCAACTCTGTCTGGGAGCGGACCCATGATTCAGGGACCAAAAGAGCTGCGTGATTGGACCTGGCCCTGCGACCCGAGACATGGGCCAGACCTCGGTGTCCACGCTGTCCCCGCAGCCCAGCAGCGGTGAGTCCGGGGCTCCTAGGATGCGCTCCGGGGCGCGCTCGGGCCCTGGGCTACCTCCCCAAACGCAAAATCGAGGGCTCGCGACCGGTCAGCTTTTGCTCTGACCCGCCAAGTCCCTCCAAGAAAGCCGCGAGGTAGCGCTCCCTAAACTCTTTGTGGTGAAGGGGTGGAATGCCTTTTGGGATTCAGCCGATTTTATCTTAAAGGCGCAGGCCCTTTTTGCGTATGGGATGCCTCATTTGGGTTTTTACCCAGGGTTACTTCTGAGCCAGAAAGTTCCGAGAAATAGCCGTTTGCGTTTGACTGTGTGTTGGTTAAACGCGAAACTTAGAGAGCAGGATAAACATGCCAACAGGCTTTTCTGTATTTACGCTTGGCTTCCGAACAGACTTGAACTGAATTCTTTCAAGCTTGTCAACTGATTTATGGTTTGTTATTCGGAGTAAAAGTGCTGAATACCTTCTCTTATCCTGGCAGAACGCTGAATACTTAATAACCAACTGCAGAAAAAATGCGTAACTGTTTCAAGCGATCCTTGTTTTGTTTATGTTAGACACATAAGCTGTAAAGCTTAAGGAAACATATCTCAGGAACCTAATTATTAAGGGCAAAAGTTCGTTTTATGGAAACGTAGTGTAACGTGGCTGAGTTATAATGTCCTGGCTTAAAAGGCTCTTTTTTCCATTTTCTTAAACAAAAAGGGAAGGAAGGTCCTACATCTGGCATTGCCCCAGTGGTATGGGCATAAACAACTTGTTTGGTGACTGTACTTGTGATTGGATAATGAAGAAAATTTAAAAAGTACCATTTGGATATGTTTTCATCAACGGTTCAGAAAAAGAACAAGAAAGGGGGCATTTGTGTTATTCATTGAGATATTTAATACACTTCTAAATTATGTAAACATCAACAGGATCTTGGTGAAAGGAAATGACAGGCAGAGACTAAGGTCTTTAAATCTGTTCCAGGATGTCTGACCAGATAGAATGGTCACACACACACACACTCCCTGAAATATCATGAACTTTTTTGCAAACTTAAGAAAATCAGGATCCAAAAAAGATACACCTTTCCTTACTGCTAATGTGTGGCAAAGTCAGTTTGAATCACAAGGTCGGAGGTTTTCCGCTCCTTTGAAACCCTATACAGGGTCGTTATGAGTCAATACCAACTCAAGGCACCTAACGACAACAGTCAACTAAAAGAAAAAACAAAATAAACCCACACAAACCCCAAAACGTGACACCACTGATGTTCCAGAGCACAGGTCCTATGTCACTGTTGCTATTAAATGTCACCGAGTTGGTTCCGACTCACAGAGACTGTGTATAGGTTCTGAGGAGCGGCTGGTGAGTTTGAACCGCTGAACTTGGGTTTCAAATGGACCTTGCAGTCTAGTGCGTTAGCCTGCAGGGCTACAGATTAGAATCTTAAATATGGTAAATTACTTTGTGCAAATGAGCCTTGATTTCTTTTGTTTTACTTTAAAGCAGCGTGACTTACTTTATTTCAAGATGCACCATTTCTGCACTGCCGAAGCATATATCTACAATAGATTTATGGAAAATGTTGTCCTTAACTTAGTTCTTTTGCCATAAAATATCATTAGAATGAATACTAGAAAAGTCCATTTTACTTACATGAACATCAGAGAATATTATAGAAATGATGCCTAAGAAGCAGAGTGGTGCCCTGGTATGGTACTGTGGGTTAATGCGCTGGACTGCAAAGTTGCTTTGAACTACAAAGTCAGTGGTTCAAGCTCACCAGCCACGCCTCGGAAACCCTGCAGAGGGTCGCTATGGGTCAGAACTGACTCGATGGCACTTATCAACAAACAACAAGAAACAGAGGAGAATCCTAAAACATACTGTCTTGCTCTTACCCAGGTAAAAAACCCAAATGTCATGATCCCTAATATGGTGACCAGTCATAGCAAGAGATTGTGCAATTTAGAAAACACAGAAGTGATGCTCTATGCCCAGTTGTAAGATATATTTCAGAGAACTTTTTCACAGACCACTGTTATATTGCAGGCCCTCAACTTTGGCGATTACAAGTGTGGGTAAATTGAAGTTGCTGATCTAGACAGCCATCACGAGTAAAGGGTTTTTTGTTTTACATTTTGTCACTTAAGGGATAGTGAATGTTATGACTGAAGTTGTAGTATTTCTAAGAGTGAAGTGATTTTTCTTCATGAGATCCACTTCAGTGCTCTAAATCTACTGGGATTCGGCTAGTGCCTGACGTTTTGCCCTCAGATTCTAAATAACAACAATAAAACCAAAAGCATTTGGCCAGTTTTGTATTCACAAAAGTGTTCTTCTCTAAGTCTGAGAGTGTCCAACCTACCCTCCCAAATATTTCGTCCACTCCTTGTTAGCCATTGTACAAATGGTGTGAAGAGCCTTGTTCTATATGATCTCAGCCTCGACTGTTTGTTTCAACCTTGAGCAACTGCTAGGGATTACAATGCAAAGACAATTCTCGTTAAAATGCTTAGTGGGGAAGAAGGTCTGGGCTTCAATCAATAGTGGAGATCCAGTCCTTCATAATTCCTATTCGATTTGGACTTTTGTAAAAATCATCATTATGGGTCAGAAGTTAGTTTGATTCTCACTTTCCTGAAATCTTGCAGTTAGTCCCATTATTTCCCTGACTTAAAGCAGCCACTGGCTCCATAGGGTAAGCTCTGGATTGTGATCCACAGAGTCTACGGTTTGAGCCCACCACCTGCCCTGTGGGAGGAAGATGAGGCTTTCTACTCCAGCAAAGATTTAAAAGCCTCAGAAACCCTATCAGGATTGCTATGAGTTAGAACCAACTCCACAGCACTTAAAACAACAACATATTTGAAATAAGAATTCCATGCCATATAATTCAGCCACTTAAATTGTCAAGTTCACTTTTTTTTTTTAGTATGTTCACAATTTTATACAATCATCACCACAATCTAATCTTAGAAAAAAAAATGTCCCCTCTAAAAGAAACCCTGTAAGGAGCTCTGATAACATAGTGGTTACAAGTTGGGCTGCTGGCTTCAAGGTCAGCAGTTTGAAACTACCAGCTGTTCCATGGGAGAAAGATGAGCCTTTCTACTCCCGTAAAGATTTACAGCCTCAGAAACCCTGTACAGGGTCACTATGAGTAGGGACCGACTCCACGGCACACCCCCGCCCCCCCACCAAAATGAACCCTGTACTCCATTCACACTCAGTCCTACCCACCCACAGTCTGAAAAACCTAAAATCTCACTGCCATTGTATCCCTTCTGACTCATAGCAACCTTGTAGGACTCAGTAGAATAGCCACATAAGGCCTCCAAAGCTTTCCGTCTTTATTGAAGTAGACTGCTACATCTGTGTCCCATGGAACAGCTACTGGACTCAAATCACTGACCTTTCAGGTAGCAAACACGTGTTTAACCACCATGCCACCAGGGCTCCTCCTGAGCTCCGTTGTTGTTAATTGCCGTCAAGTTGGTTCCGAGTCATCACGAGCCTATGCACAACAGAACAAAACACTGCCCAGTCCTACGCCATCCTCAAAATTGTTGCTACGCTTGAGCCCATTGCTGCTGTCACTGTGCTAATCCATCTCATTGAAGGTCTTCCTGTTTTTTGCTGACCCTCCACTTTACGAAATATGATGTCTTTCTCCAGGACTGGTCCCTTCTAATAATATGTCCAAAGTATGAGAGACAAAACCTTGCCATCCTGGCTTCTAAGAAACATTCAGGCTATACTTCTTCGAACACAATTTGTTTGTTCTTCTGGAAGTCCATGGTACTTTTAATGTTCTTTTCCAACACTTTAATGCAAATGCATCAATTCTTCTATGATCTTCCATATTCATTATCCAGCGTTCACATGCATATGAGGCTACTGAAAATACCATGGCTTGGGTCAGGCGCACCTTAGTCCTCAAACTGACATCTTTGCTCTTGAACACTTTAAAAAAATCTTGTGCAGCAGATTGGCCTAATGCAGTATATTGTTTAATTTTTTTGACTGCTACTTCCATGAGTGTTGATTGTTGATCCAAGCAAAATGAAGTCTTTTGACAACTTTCATCTTTTCTCCATTTATCTTGATGTTATTTATTGGTCCAGTCATGAGGATTATTGTTTTCTTTACATTGCGGTGCAACCCATAATGAAGGCTGAAGCAAGTGCAGGCGGAAGCTGAAGAAATTAAAACAAGCCCCTGTGAGCCAAAATATGACCTTGAACATATTCCCCTGCCCTGAGCAACCACTGATCTACTTTATCACTTGGATTTGCTAATTCTGGAGATTTCATATACAGGAGTCCCTGTAGTTTGTAATAGCAACCAACTTTGGGGTACACGTCAAAGCAGTATTGTTATTTTCTAGTATTATAATGTTGCTTTAATGCTTTTTATTAATAGAAATATACACTGTATTCTATATGCTGGAGTCCTGCTGTAATGCCATAGGATAAGCACTGGACCAAAAGGTCAGTTTGAACCATAGGGCTGGCAGTTCAAATTCACCAGTCACTTCTTGGAATCTCTGTACATAGTTACTATGAGTCAAAATTAACTCAACAGTACTTAATAACAGCAATACGCTATATACGAAGACAAATATTTGACCAACTGTCGTTAGTACCTAACTGTTCCGACTTACATACAAATTAGATTTAAAAACAGACCACAACAGAGCTCATTCGTAATCTGGGAACTGCCTGTAAAGGTAATTATACTGTGTGGTCTTTTGCAACTGGTATTTTTCATTTGCCATATTTTCAAGGGTTATCCATGTTGTAGACTATATCTACTTCATTTCTTTTTATTGCTGAATGAATTTCTTCCATATGGACATACCACAGTTCACTTACTCACTCACTAATTGATGGATATCTAAATTATCTGTACTCTTTGGCTAGTATGGAGTAATGCTGCATGAATATTCATGTGGTAGTTTTTGTTGTTGTTGTTGTCAGGTGCCAT